GTTGAAAAGACACCACGATCATATTCGGTGTTAATAATAATGAGTTTATAATCCCATTATCAATAAATACCGAAGCACATAATGAACCAATAATATAAATGCATTCTGCCAGTAGAAATGATTACTGTGCTGTTTATGTGCATCAGTGTGATGTTACAGGTGATTTATATTCTGTGTTGTATTGATGCAGCCTTTAAGTGTTTTCTTACTTCTTCAATGCATTAATGAATGAGGATGCTTTCAGTCATTTTAAATGTTTCCATGGGCACAGTAATGCCACTGCAGCAGTAATGAAGCAATAAAGCGGCCACACTTACCATAATAACCCTAGTTTAGGAGTAACAGCTGCTGACAGCTACTGCCCCATCACCTTCTATGCAGATAATATAAACTACTGAAATAACAAGGCAGTGCACATTATGAGGGAAGAACATAGAACCATCAGAAAGTACCACATGGAAACACCACTAGTTTTACTTTCATTTTCCAGCAGAAGGTTGTCTTTAGCAGCTGAAGCTGGAAATGTCTGCTATGGTAGTAATTAAATGAATTGATGATTTATTGGTAATAATGTTTATCAGTGTATCTGTGTGGTTATTATTGTTTAAGCACAATGCTGCAGAAAAACAGTAATTATGGAGAATTATGGAGAATTATGGATTTGTTTTTATATTGATGCAATACAGCAATACAGTATAATATTCTATCATCTGTGTATAAATATGCATAGACATTAGTCAAAAATGAAACAATGTTATTAATAAAAATTGTAAAAAAAAAAAATACTTGTTTAGTGGGAAGGTATTCTTTTTTAAAATTATTTTGGGATTTGGATATTCGCACACACACCTTCTCAGATGGATAAAAAAAAAGTAATTCCCAGCACTGATACTACATGACATCTGTCTCTGCGATTACTGTTTCTCGTGAAATCTAGCCTCTGAGAGTAAACCTGTAACAGTGTCACTTGGTGTGACACTGGTGAACTATTACACATTCTGGTTCACAGCCACATAATTATTTCTATCACTGCCTTTGGCCTTTTGTGAAAACACCATTTCTCCTCTTTTCCTAGCTTTTAGCTTTTTTTTTTTCGATTTAAAGTCTTTGCACTCCACTCGATAAAAAGCTTCTTTCCAGCTGCTGTCATTTACATCAGACTAGAGCACCTTTATCTTCATCATTTATCTTTTATCACTTATGATGTTGTATCAGGTTTATTTATTGTCTGAGTTGTTTGTTGTTAAAATACTTTTGTTTTACTGCAACCAAATGTACCTATGGGTACAAAGAATGTAACTTAACCTAACTCATAAATATAGTACAGCAAAATCAGTTTCTTTAGTTGAACACATTTTTATGAGCTTTAGTCAGATAGTTTATTACCCACTCAGGGTTAATGAGGGAGATAGAGGAGTTATTCTGTTTTATCTTTGTTTTACAGTTCAGACATGTGTTCTACAAGCCTGCTGATTTTACTTCTATCTGGTAAGGTATTTATTTTGGTATTCACTCATTCCCTGACAGCACAATATAAGAGAACTGGTTTGACCAGTTTCAGTTGTAGTATATGTAATATATTGGTTTATTGTTGTTGTTTTAAACACTCAAAAAATTATTATCATTATTATCATTTGTGTCTCCTACTTTCTCTGCTGCTGGTACCTGGATGCTCATATTAACATTATATCAGCCATGTATCTCAGCTTACTTTAGAAGATTAAGTGCTCCTTATTGGGTTTAGAAAATCGTCCTCATTCTTAAGCTGAATAAACATGCAACGTTCACTTTAAGCTAACTGGTTAGCAGTAATCAGCTGCTTCTGATACTGATAGTTGTGTGGTGTGATGATAAACAAGGCAGCCAAAGTCATGTCACCACCCAAAAGACTGGTTCTGCATGTTTTTGTTTTTTAAATCTCAAATTGTTTCCACCCGGTTTTAGTAATGAAAGCTGAGAAAGTCCTCAATGATCTAAAGATAAAAGTCTTCTATCAATATTCTCATATGAGCCTTGACAAAGTAAATAAACATCCATTCATTTTCTCCTGCTTATCCATTTCAGATAGCACAGTTTCTC